TATATAAAATTAAATAAATAAAACTTTTTTATTGAACAAACTTCAATGCTAATTTTTTTTTAATGTGGGGAAGAATGACTGCAAGTTTATTTCCACGATTTGTTTAATTCAGTGTTGCAGTTTTGTCCTTGAGATTCACCTATCCAGATGTGAGATTTGATTTTTATAAGTTCCAGTGTTGTGTTGTATATAAAGTCATATATTTGTCCCATTCAAATGAATATCCTGTACTGCAAATGTTCAGTAACAGCAGAGTTTTCTAGGTGTAGGAGCTTTGTTACATTAGTGTTTTTTTTTTTAAGTCTCTGATTGATTATTCTTCCTGTATCTTCACCATAAATTTCATTGCATCTGTTGAGGATGGTTGTAAATTACATGTTTTTGTTTATTAGGATTACTAGCTTTTGTAAGTCTCTGGTTGATTGTTCTTTTGTTTCTCCAACTTAAATTTCGCTACATCTGTAGAGGGTGGTTGTAAGTTACATGTCTTTGTTTCTTAGGATTACTAGGTTGTCTTGATCTTGTTTATCAGGATGTTACATTGTCATAGCACACTATCAGTAAGAACAACTTTTATTGAATTACATAATGCCCCATGTTGGAACTAGTTGTTCTTACTGGTAATATATTCTGATACTGGTCACACATTTAATTAATGACTAACTGTGGATAATGACTGTGGTAAGAGATAGTTTGATTAAATTCATTCATAGATAGCATCTGCATGAACAGTGGTGCTATTTGATTCATAGAAATCTCAGTTATCTAGATACATTACATCCAGTATCTTAACATAAATATAGTCCTACAAGATTTTTTTCTGGGGGAAGGGCTAAATTGATGAATGACTTTTAGAATCACACATTAACCTCCTGTAGAGTATCTCAGACTGAAATAACAGATCTGGTATTTCAGTGTTTATGTTATAAAATTACTAAAGTGTTTTGTATTACAGGTAAACATTTTTCCAAATCAAAGTATTGGCTCTCTGATTTCTATAACAAAGTGCTAAAATAGAGAAACTGGTCTGATACCATCTGAACAAATAGAATAAGGAAGTGTACACATTAGTAATAGGTCACTAGCCACTTCAAGAATAGTCAAAATGGTTTAATATATCAAGAGGTCTACTCAAATATCCATTGGAGGGCTGTAGAAAATGTTATTAGTATTTTGATATATGGATATTATAATATCCATTGGAGGGCTGTAGAAAATGTTATTAGTATTTTCATATATGGATATTAGAATATCCATTGGAGGGCTGTAGAAAATGTTTAGTATTTTCATATATGGATATTAGAATATCCATTGGAGGGCTGTAGAAAATGTTATTAGTATTTTCATATATGGATATTAGAATATCCATTGGAGGGCTGTAGAAAATGTTTAGTATTTTCATATATGGATATTAGAATATCCATTGGAGGGCTGTAGAAAATGTTATTAGTATTTTGATATATGGATATTAGAATATCCATTGGAGGGCTGTAGAAAATGTTATTAGTATTTTCATATATGGATATTAGAATATCCATTGGAGGGCTGTAGAAAATGTTATTAGTATTTTCATATATGGATATTAGAATATCCATTGGAGGGCTGTAGAAAATGTTATTAGTATTTTGATATATGGATATTATAATATGCATTGGAGGGCTGTAGGTGTATGTTAGGTCTGGGAACAGAGTGTTGTTAAAGATTATATAAAGGAGTTGTGATAGAACAGAACCCTATGGTACTCCTGCTACTTTGGAAATGGTTACAAAAAAAGCACATTGGCCAGAGGTATGGGCAACTTCAATGTAACTTTTTGGGGATTAACAGAAATCAGATTACAAGATCATAGTAATTTAATTTTTTATATCATACATAAGATTATCATGAAAAATTTGGGTCTCAGCCCCCGGTCTATATAGTAAGTGAAGATATATACCTACTAACTCATTGGAGGTTGAAGTCATGTGCTTTAATTTTCTTCAGAAGCTGTGTGGTTTTCCTTTCATGTTTTCTTTAGATCTGGATTATTTCTACCACTAGATTTTTACCTTTGTAACAGAGAAATCATGAAATAACTGAAATTTCTCCCTTTCAATAAGTCCCCTAGTGGGACAATGGTAAGCCTTCGGATGTACAACGCTAAAATTAGGGGTTCGATTCCCCTTGGTGGACACAGCAGATAGCTCGATTTTTATAAGAAAACACACACCCTTTCAATAAACTTGTATGTTATTTCATTAAGAACACTTTATTCATTCATAAGAACAACTAATTTTATAACTTTTTTAATTTACCTCCTACATTTTCATTATCACTTTAAAGTAATAAATCTTACACAATTGAGGAAATCAAACCTGTTAACCATTAAACAGTAATTTAGAGATGCACCAATATGAATTTTTTTGTCAACAGTAGTGATAACTGATATGTACATCTGGCTGTTAGCCGGTACTAATAATATGAATATTAATATTTTCTTCAATCATTCATATTCAGCTATCATTGTCTGTTTTTGTCAGAATTGCCAATGCTGGTACTTTCCAATGTGTCAGTTTAGCTACTTATATCAAATATGATAATCAGTGCAGCTTTAAATAACATATGGCTTCAAAAGAAGTAAGATTTTTACAGACAAATCTACTGCATGTTTTAGCTGAGCAGCATACATTTCTAAAAACCAGGGAACTTTGTGTCATATGGTTATGGAAACTGTTGTGGCAAGAATCATGTTATTCATTTTATTTTATTGTATGAACTTCATATATTTTGTTTCTAAAAATTATGCCTAAATTGTTTTTGAAACAAATTAATTGAAGAAGTACAAAATATTTTTAAATCTTCAAATGTTATATTCATATTAGGGTAGAGCATTATGTAGATTTTATCTTTGTATCATTTCTAATCTTTTTTGTAATGATTTGATTTCTTTCCAACTAGAATCACACCAGAAATTCTCTAAGTGATGCTGAAAAAAGGGTAGGTTATGTTCGATGATGCTTAGTTTCGACTCCATTCCCCATGTTTGTATAGTAACAGTTTTTCGTTTTACGTAAAACTTTTAAACGGGATATAGTTATACTTACTGATCTACATTTAACTCTCAAATTCTTGAAGCTTCTATCTGTTTATTTGTAATTTATATTTGAGTAATTTATTACCAGATAGATTACATGTCTTTTTTTGTACCACAAGTTTGGTAATTGTAAGTTTGTTGAGCACCTCATTTAAGCTTTAGGTATTTAAATTTGCAAAAAAAAGACTGTTACCAAACATTGAATAGTATTAAAATAGAAACTATATAAGGCTCAAATGTGATCCATTGAAAATGAATAATAAATATAAACCTAATAAATGTCAGTCTTATTGCTGGTGACTATATTTCAGGAAAAAAGAACATTAGAAAGAAAACTTGCTGAAATGGAGGAAGAGTTAAAAGTAGGTTAAACATACTAGTCAGCCTAAAGTATTTATCTATAATATTTGATATAGGAATTGTATATATACTTGTCTGTGTACATATTATTCGTTTAAGAAATTAACTAAATTGGTCAAGCTTTTACAGTTAGTTTAATAATAAAGGTAATTAATTAAAGCTTTCAAAAATATAAATAGTTAAGAATAATTGGGACTAAAGCTTAAATTAGTGTAAAAAATGTCTTTTAAAAAAAAATCAAAATACTGTTCTGTAAAAATAAACTTTTATTCATAACGTAAGTCATTAAAAACATTAAAAATGTTATATGAAAGCCCTTGTGAAAGTTATAATAGAACATGGAAACCTCTTAAAGATTTGATAAAAATATTAAAACCATCTTTTTGAAAATGCTTGCAGGTAAGTACACTGTTTACACTTTAATGAATATACAGTGTGTTTATAATTTACATACTGAAGGAACAGACTAATCATCGATATGACAACTGTAATAAAATCGTTTTTAGAAATATTAAAATATTACTTTTTATAATCCTGACTTGAAACACTAAATTTTCCAGAAGATAGCATTTGTCACAGTATTTTGCACAATAAGTGATAGATTATAGTATTTCACATAAATTTAATCATTAATTGACCTATTTTACACAAATTATATTGTAAAAACAGGTCTTCACATTATTACATTTTTAATAATTTACCTGTAGTGGATCTGTAGGGGCACGTTCATAACACAGGAGTATTAATTTAATTTGGTTTTTAGATAATTACATGTAGCATTCTTCAGCCACTATGAATTTTCATTAATATTTATCATTACATAAGTTCAAGATCTATTTTGCATGACTTTGAAAATGCTTATATTAATATCCAAGTTTGTTGGTTCTGCTAATAAGTTTGTCACGAAATACATTCAGTGTTTACTATGCTGAAAATGAGGTTGCATATTCAAGAGATGTTTAAGTGATAATGTTCTGCATTTCACCAGAGAAACTAGTTAGAAAGAGCAGTAGCCTTGCAAATGTTTTCATTTTTCCATAGTGTTTTGTAGAATAACATTTTGTAAATGTGTAAAAGAGATTTCAGCGTAAAGTATTTTTTTCTTCGTGGAATGATATTGTTGAAACAATTTGTTTCATAATAAATTGCATAAAGAATTAGTTTTGCACTGGTATACCAATCATGCATGTTAGAAAAAATAATTTGAATAAAGGCATTTGATTTATTTTGAGTATAATGATAAAAACTCTTGTGATATTAGCATCAGCCTCTGTTTACAGTTGTTGTTTTATGAGAGAGAAAGAAAATGTTAATACTGGCATGCTATTTCCATAAGCCAGATTGGTTTTATTAATTACAATCTTTTTTCTTTATTAACTCCACGTGATAAACTCACAAGTGCCCATTTTGTTGTTATTATCATTGTAGCACAGCATTTCAATAATCGTTATGGTAACACAAGACAAGTAACACTATGAGCTGATGTTATTTGTTCTTCAGGAGATTGTGGTGATATTTTGATGATGATTTGTAACTTCCACTGTGCATTTTAAACACCATCATTAAAAAAAGATACTGCATTTTTAAAAAATAAAAAATTGTATATCACTAACAATTTTCTCCCAATCTTCCTGAAAACTTACAATATTCTCCTAGAAATGTCTTTGATACTATATTTTGATATCCGTTGAATGCTTAGCTTTTTGGATGTAAATCTGGCATGAGATAATTACTTGTTTCATTTTAAATCTGTTTACTTGTTCGTGTTTTGAAAGACAGAGTTGTTTTTTCCTGACTAAAGAAAATGAAAAATAAAAACATTAATGTGTAACAAAATATTTGCTATGGCATGCCATAGTATGTTTTATAACCAAGAGCCACTGGATTAACCTTAAGTAACCACACATAAGAGTTGTGTAGGTTTTGTATTCAGTTACTGTAGGATCAAGGAGCTGTGCACTAAAATCATTTTGATTAGTGTTCACAATTGACACAGTAAGTTTGAAAAAGCAATTTAGAGTATTTTTACCTGTTTAAAACAGTGAATTAAAAGAAGTTACTCCAAATATTCGCACATCTTGTTAAGTACCAGTTAGTTAAAAATGGTACTTCTCACTTCAACTTTCATAAGTTCTGTTAAACTTTACCTAACTTATTAAATACCATTAAATAAAAATTATATTCCTCACTTTAGGGGCCTGACAATGCTCAGTAGGTAAGGCACTCAACTTGTAATCTGTGTGTTGTGGGTTCTTATCCCATCAGTGAAACATGCTTGCCCTTTCAGCTGTGGAGACATTATAATGTTACAGTCGTATCCATTTTTCATTATTAAAGAGTAGCTCAAGAGTTGTTGGTGGATGGTATGTTGACTAGCTTCCTTCCCTCTAGTCCATTACTTCTAAATTAGGGATGGCTACCACAGATAGCCCTCGAGTAGCTATACTCAAAATTCGACAAACAAACATTCCTTACTTTAGATTTCATAAACCACTTTAAAAATGAAACTTGAAATCTGTCATTAAAAAAACCTAGAAACACTTGCTAATTTTCTTTTTCTTTATCTAGACAGATCCCCAATTGTTTAGTGTGCAAGATTTGGGAGAGTTGCAAATTTAAACCTCATGATAATTAGAGCTTTGTTGAAATTGACAGATTTTCCAAGGTCATTTTAAAGTTCTCATAATCTGTGCAGTGCCATTAAAATAAATTACTGTACTACTACTACTACTTTTTAAAGGTTGTGTTAAGCCTTTTCTCACATTTTAAGTATCATACAACAAAATATTAATATTACCTGTTATGAGATTTTAAAATTATTAAATATTTCCTTGCCTTCTAACTATCAGTTCATATCTGTTAGTTTTGAAGTCAATTGATATTAATCTATGAGTACTGCACTTTTCCACTGCTATATTACATTAGTGTGGACAGTCTAAATGAAAAATTATATTTACAAGTATCATATAGTGAAAATACAGTCAAATATGAAAGCTAAAATCCCAGATTTGCCAAAAATAACAGCATGACATCTTACCTGTTTAAAACAGCTTAAAATACACTAACTCATGCCACTTGACTTTGTTTACACATTACTAGAAGAATATCTCAATTTTGTACTGTCAGAAAAAGATATAACACTATTAAACAGATAAACTGAATATTATATATAGCTACGAAAATATCTTTTATCTTGGGATTAAATCTAATTAGACGTATATTTATGAATCAGGAAATGTGATGTTGCTGATTTAAAGATATAGTATTAATACAACAGGAATTCTTCTAAACTAATCACTGTTCATTAATGACAGGGGCCCCCTGATGGCTCAGTGGGCTCATAACATTAACAATTGGAGTTCAATAGCCATGGTGGGCAAATTGCAGATCGTCCATTGTGTATCCTTGCATTTAATTACAGGGACTACTTAGAAATCTGTTACAATTATTATGTGAACTTTCTTTTATTGGCAAGAATTAGCTAGAATATAATCAAATATCCTGTTTAGAATATAATCAAATATCCTGTTTCAAGAACCTTTCTTAAACTGTTTAAAACATCTTACAGTCTCACTTTATTGGCAGGAATTATGGTTAGAATCATTATTCAGTATCTTCATGAATAATCATTTTGTTAATCTCTGTTTTTACTTTCTTTAGCATCTTTTTTTCACTAATCATTTTTTAAGCCTACCTTTAATATGAAAATTGTTTGAAAAATGAACACAAGTTGTTAGTTTTTATTTCTCTTTGGTAATAACTGAAAAGAAGTTGAGAGGTTTAACATTACTTTTGTTATATAGATGAATAATTTCAGCTGAAATGGTGTTTGTAGGTTTCTGAGATCCTACACTCCATGTAGGTAATTGGGTTAAGGGATGGCTAAGTTTGCAGGAGTATATGCTTGAAATTGTACAGGATTAGAATCCAATAGTAGATTATTTATATCAGATAATAGCAGTGTCAGATAACTTTATTATGTTATTAAAATCAAATAGCAAGTTATACACATCACAGTAAAGCATTGATGTTAAATTTCTTTCTCATATCTCATTAGAATCCAGTAGGAGGTTATATATGTGAGATGTGTTTCATACATATCATACTGCTAGGGTCTAGTAACAGGTTAATTATATCCAAGTGTAGCAGTATCAAACAATTTGCTTGCACATTGTTATTACAACACAATAGTAGATTATGCAAAACTTAATTAAACACTAATAGTATTTTGTAATATTATAGCTATTACAGGGCAAAACCACAGTTTTAAATAACATAAATCACTTCTTCACTGTACCGTTATGCAAATCAAGCATCTGATGATTATTTATTTGATATAAATATCCTCACAGTCTTTTGTCTCAGTTGTCGTGTTAAAGTGAATTAGAAATTTGGAGACTATAACTCACCTCTTCATACAGATCACCTATCATCCTTGTGTGTCTGCCTAAGAGATTTGCATGTCAGTAGCTTTGAGGCAACTTCCACCTAATTTCATGTATTCTGATGTGCACTGGTGCATGATGTCATCATGCAATTAAAGCCCTCCACCCATAGGAGGGCAACAAAACCTCCATGCACAGTAACTCCCCCTACGCACCTACACTCGTGGTATCTTCATTCTTCTCCTTGGCATTTTTTGGAACCAACATGTTTAAAATCCATGTTTGAGTCCAATTTTGTAAGACTTGCTTTGTTAACAAAGCTTTCATTTTCTATTGTGAATTCTCAAATGATGGTGACTTATACCTATTCCTGTGTGAGTGACATTGTTCACACACACACCTTATTTCTGCTGTGGCTTCTAGAGTCTCATTAACTGATGGGGACATTATAGCCATTGTTCAATGTATTGTGGATTATCACATGTTTCTTGGGCCTCCTACTCATGTCCTGTCAACTGAAATTCTTTCTCCTTAGTCGGAAATGATCTATTTAACTACCACTTTCATCTGATTGGCTTTGGGTAGTGACTTACCATTTGAGAAATGACCTTTCAATC